TCTCACTTACTTCGTCTCCACCAAAGATCATGTTTATCGTCATGCACGGTGACCCCGTAGGCAATTTTGATGGTTCTGCAGCATTTCGATTTTTTCCATAGTTATTCTTGGCCCAATCACTAAAAAAATTTGCTAAGGTTACCATTCTTCAATAATGTCGCCACCTCTTCACGAAGATGCCGACTGTCCCCAGTTCCGTGACCATGTGTTTCATAGAACTCACACCATAGATTAGGATCTAATAGAATTGGTTTAGGGAACCTAGCCTCTTTATGTTCCTCATAACTGGAACCAGTTCTACCAGGCTTATGTTAAAGTTGTAGTCGGTTAATCGGGGATATGTTGAATCTCGGGACCCTGATGCTTCTTCTCCTGCAAAGTTTTGCTACTGCAACCATGATCCATTTTTCTATTGGAAGCAAACCTATCCGATGACTGAAAATCTTTATTTCCTCATCCATCGGTCCTTTCGTAAGGCTGAAAATGCCTCTGGAAGATCTTCGATCTACATCAACATCAGCTTTAAACCTTTCCTGATTCCGATCTCGATTGTATTCTTTGGATGTGACGAGCGCAAAACACACACTTAAATTATGCTCGCTAATCAAAGATAGTATAGTATAATATCGTATCCATATGGATTGGATTTAAACAGTATTCTCTTAGTTTCTAGCTTGATTGTTGTCCATGAGGATCAATAGTTGAGATTGATGTGATTACTAACTAGAATTACTTAAGAATCTAAGCTATTGACTAGTGACTATCGGAACAAGGAATAAGCAAATAAGGTTATCAGTGGGAGAAGATAGGGTTTTGACATGATATAGGTGCAAGATAATTGTTCGGGATCTAACTCTAGAATTTACTTCTAATATTGAAGTGAGTCTCTCGAATTCACTCAATTATTAGTTCAAACGTTCAGCAGAAACTCCTCTCTCGATTAAGTCTCAACCTCACGAGATGAACTAAGTTAAGAACTATGAAGATATGCAAGAATGCGTAGTGGATTGGTCGTTAGGAAAGCCTCTTTCGATTATTGTCCTAACTAGGTTTAATCAATGATTCAACAAGCCTCTTTCGATTACATAGAAGAATCTATGAACTCAACCAACAATATAATGCAAAGATATCACAAGTTATGCCTCTCTCGATTACATGAACTAGTGAATATAGAGGCAACAATTAAATCATCCAAAACGATTCTTGACAAAAGTGCTACTCAATGTGGAGACAAACTTTCAACCATATTTAACATTCTTCCTGCTGCATCTTTAAAAATAAAAGTTAAAATATTGTGAAAATATTTTTGACCTATACATATTTTCAACTCATACTTACTCTGAAGGGTGAGCTATTTTTAAACCAATACTTATTCCCAACTATTTTTTTACCTATAATATTTTTAACCTTTTCTTTAAACATAAAAAGAAACAATCATGTGTTGAAAATTATGTGAAAAAGGCAAATCAAGTATAATTTGGAAGATAAAGAGGAAGATATAGCAGAAATGCCCTTCATTCTAACAAAAGAAACATGTGCAAGTCTTTGGTGTCAAATAATATCCATTTTATTCAATGCAGCATCATTACAAGATGGAATAGATTGAGACAACATTCTGAGAAGAACTATAATCAATGAACTAGAACTAGGATCAACAATAGTAGGAGATAAAGATGGAAAGCTACATGTAGCAGGCATAGTAAAAACATGTTGAGCTGAAGAAGAAAAGGCAGTAGTACAGGAAAACTTGTAAAGTCCGTCCTCTTGCTTACCAAGCTCCAGAGGCATCTTCATAGAAGGGCCCTGTAGCAAGCAAGAGTCAGAACTAAACTGTGCAATACATCTCAATAACAAAACAAGTTTGTGCACAGAAATTAAATTATGTTTAAAAGAGGGAATGTAAAGAACATCTGGAAGAATAATAGAAAGATATAAAGAAAAAGACCCTGTACAAGTAACTTTAACTTTATATCCATTAGGAAGTGTGATAAGGTAAGGAATAGGCAAAGGTGTGATATTGGTTAGAAGATCCTTGTTGTAAGTCATGTTATCAGATGCTCCAGAATCAATAATCCATTTATTGGGTGAGGACTGACTGAACATGCAAGCTAGAGAATAAGTCACTACTTTGGGAATGAGCACATTACTAGCAAAATTGGCAGAAGCCATGAGGTCAGATTGAGATGGTGCAGAATCAGAGGCATGAGAATGTTGTGGAAGGGCCATTAGCTGAGAATATTGCTGCTTGGTTAAACCAGGTAGTAATGAACCTTGTGAATCATTGTTGATAGTTCCAGCATCTGGAAGAGAAGAAGAATTTATACAATCATCAGAAGAAAAATCTGTTCCAACAGTCGCATTTGCTGCAATTTTCTTCCTTTTGGTGAATTTGAAATCAGGAGGGAAACCATAAAGCTTGAAGCACTTATCAATTAAGTGCTCATTCTTCTTACATTATCTGCATAATAGATTCCCTTTGGCTTGATCAAAGTTCACTCTTTGGACATACTGTCTCTGAGTGTTGGAACCAGGAGGCCTATAATTTGTGTTGGGATTGGACTGATGGTTGAGATTGATTTTGGTAGTGAATGCAGCTTAATCAGGACCAAATTGAGAGTTGGAATTGATCTACCTCTGCTTTTTATCTTGAAGAAGGATGTTATATGCACTGTCTAGTGTTGGAGGTGGTTGCATCATAAGCAAGTTGCTCCTGACACTAACATAGACTTCATTCAACCCTATGAGAAACTGATGAAGTCTATCCTCTTCCTCCTTTTTAAGAATACCTTCCTTTGCACCACAAGTGCAGTGATTTCCATAATTTTTACGAACAACTCTTAATTCATCCTACAATTTCTTTAATTTGTTAAAGTATGAGGCAATATCTAGGGAACCTTGACAGGTAGAAGCTAGTTCTTTCTTAATTTCAAAGGCTTTAGTTCCATTTGCTATCCCATATCTTGTATTTAACTGTCTCCATATTTCTTCAGCTGTTTCAGAATACTGGACACTATCCGCAATATCAGGAGACAAAGAACCTGTTAACCATGAAATTATATATATCATATTATTACATCTGACCCACTACTTAGACTCGATAGAATTATCAGGAGGTTTGGGCAAACTACCATCAACAAATGCAATTTTGTTCCTAGCAGACAAAGAAACAATTATACTCCTTTTCCAACTCCCAAAATTCGTTCCAGAGAAAGGAACTGGCACAAGTGAAACACCTAGAACATCTGAAGGCTGTACAAACAAAGGACTAGAAGGTTTGGGAACGAACTTAAGTGTACCAGATGCACTACTCACATCAAAATCAGTAGATCTCATAGCTGCTATAACATTCAACAATAAAAACTTATCCGATGAATCTCATGTAAAAAGGAGATATATACAGAGTTCCCGGATTCTTCGCAACCGGAAGTACGGCCTTCAAAACTACAACTCACAGTAGCATAGCAACCAAACAAATCTTCACAACAACACAACAACCATGATTGATGAAATAGGGTGAAGTCGTAAAACCCTAGAAATCTCGAGCTTAACGATGACTACATGAATTTGTAGATAAAACCTCCACAAGTAGACGAAAGAGGAACACAAGGTCAGAAAACGCTCAGATGAATCAAAATGAGCATGAAATCCGCCGAAGAAAACAGTATGTAGACTCTAAATCGCTACCCACACAAAATGAAATCCACAACGAAACTCGATGAGACTAACATCGGAAGATAGAGGAGGACGAGATGGTCCAGAATCTCGCTCTGATACCATGAAATCATGGAGGGCCCAAATACAAGTGGTAAAATTAATAGAAACTATGCTAACCAGTCTTTCCTTTGGGCCCAGATGCCAAATAGTCCATGAGTCCAATAGTTTTAAGAAACTAAAAAATTTGTTGTCTTATATTTATCTCAGAACTCAAAACTAATGAGGCTTTTGGTCTTCCTAATTAGTGGAAACAGTTTTATTTGTGACTTTTGGTAACGGGAACATTTAGTTTTTGTCTTCTATATTTTTAAACACAAATTGAATTGACATATTTCTATATTGTATATATTCTCGTCGTCTCAAATTATGCAATACGATAATCTCTTTGTCCATAGTCTATCCAGTATTTTCGTTTAAGGAAAAACATGCATCTATACAAACTTGTAAAAATTTACGGTGTCTTTGTACTGGCAAGAGTACTCATCTTCAAGATGAGGGACAGAAAGGCAATATCAAGGTCATCAGAACAATACGGGCATGAGAATTTTTTTTGAAATAACTGTTGGGGTAATTTATTAGTGCCATGAAATCGAAGTCGTTTATTGATGTTTGATTTATTATGTTGCCAAGACCATGACATTAGAATTGAAGGCGTGATAATTTCGATTGGAACGGTTATGAAAAGATGTAACCTTTTCCGATTCCTTATTCTTAGGAAGTCGTAACTGAAAAGTACTCCATCAGGTTCACTGATTTTTTGGTTGTTTTCACACAGATTAAGACATGCACCTTTTAACGTTAATTAGTAAAATTGACCATATTAACTTTTACTATCTCTTCACATAAACACTCCTAACACATACTCCAACACTAGTTACTCCAAGGGCAATGTAGGAAAAAAGCAAGTAATTCATTCCTGAAATCTGGAAAAAATCAAATATTTTGGACCACAAAAAAAGGCTAAAAAACCACTTATTGTGAATCGGAGGGAGTAATTTTTTAGATTTAATGATTGAGTTCTGATTCCTTATTCTTAGGAAGTTGTAATTGAAAATCTTCGATTCTGAGAGAATGAAAAAATACATTTTTTCTGATTAATAAGAAATGCCAAGTTAGCATTTTGTGACCCTCTATATATAGATGATATAATACAATACATATTTCTACCCAAGAAAATCCAAAATTAAATTGACAAGTTCCAAGTTCGATATGGAATTGGATCATTGTTCTTCCTAAAGCAATTGGTGGTCTAGGCCTCTAGGCTAAGGAAAGCATCCCAAAAAAATATGGCGCTCCTTGCTGGTCTTTCGTGGACACTTTTCAGTCAACCTCTTGCTTTGCCCTCAGGGGTAGTAAACGGACGGGTCAGGTCAGATATGGGTGCACCAAAAATGGGTAATATAATACAGATAATTATTGGGTCCAACTCATATTTAATACGGATAAAATATAGGGGTTTTGACACAGTTACCCATAAAAACAAAACTATTTACCCTTGTCTACCCATTTGTTTTCCTACCCATAAACTAATTACATTTTCTATCCATAGTAGGTTTTTGTGGAGAATTTTTTCTTTATTCTCCAATTCTTTTTTATTTCTATGCTTCTTTTCTTTTCTCCTTTTCTTTTTTCTCGTTTTTTCTCATTTTTTTCTTTTTTCCTTTTCTAATTTCATTTAACTTCTTTTTTTTTATATTCTTTTTCTCTTCATAATCTAATTTCATTTACTGTTTTCATTATTTTTTATTATTCTTTTTTTTATATTGTTACTAAATAAAAATTAAATTGTGTACCAATTAAATGTAGCTAATACAACCAAATAAATATTAACTAACATATGATACCAGTATAGTATATAACTATACCAATAGGGTATACAATTGTGCGCAAAGAGTTAAAAAAATTTCAATTCAATTATTAAACTAAAATAATATCAGTTGTCAATAAAAAATTTAAAAAATTCTAAAAGGATCTAATTGTAAGAATATACCGTTACGTTATATAGCATACTATATATTTTTATTTTTTTTTTGCATTTTCAATTTGCTCCTCACGCTGGGTAAAAGCTTAAAACAAATTAAAAAGGAAAAGGCAAGTGAATTTACGGGTAATAAGTATATTATTATAGTATATTGTATACTATTACAGCATATTGTTACAGTATCTTGCAGATTATTACAATATACCATAATAATATATTGTATATTATAATAGTATATTGTTGCTGTATAACTATATACTCCTAAAGTATATACTATAGCGGTATACTGTTTTGTACACTATAATAGTGTACTGTTGCAGTATAGCTATATACTCATTACAACATATTATATACCGTAGCGGTATACTGTAGTTGTGTTCTTCTTCGATTTTCAACTGAAAATTTCGATCTCAATCACCTCAAATCAGCTCCAAATGCTATCAAATTTCAGTATGAACTTCCAGAAGGTACTATAAGCAATATTTAACAGCACCCACTTTGAATCAAACAAGAAATCTTCAAAAATAAAATTGAGCTTCAAGCCCAACAATGGTGGATAATGGAAAGATTCTCAAAGGATTATATTAGCATGGGACCAGAGACGTAAATGACCAGAGACTTCTGTAAATGTCATACCCACAAATATTATTACTGCCACACAAAACTAAGGATATTCTTTTGGAGTTTGAATCTCTATTCTAATGTTTTACTCACCAATTGTTTCGATGTTCGTCTCTCAGAAAATGGAATTTTCAGACTTTTCGTGCCAAACTCCAAGTTTGTCCTAATCCCTGGCTATCAAGCACCAGAAGTGGAAAATGCCTACGATGTTTCTCGAAATCTGATGTTTACAGCTTCGATGTCTTGCTGTTGGAATTACTGACTGGTAAGGCCCCGTTGGAAGCAATTGGCAAGAACACAGGGGTTGATTTACCTAGTTGGGTTCGAGATATGTTTCAAGAAAAGCCTATTATTGGTGTTTTTGACAGTATGATGCTGCATAATTACCAGAATTCTAGCTCAACTTTTGTTTGCAGATTGCGGCTGGAGAATTAGCGGGTAATTAATTTGGGTCCCATGGGTAGGAATAGTAAATAGTTTGGGCATGTGCATTAAAGGGTAAATAGTTTGGATTTATTGGGTATAAAGTGAGATTTTCTCTAAAATATACTCCCTCCGTTCCAATTTATGTGAACCTGTTTGACTGGGCACAAAGTTTAAGAAAAAATGAAGACGTTTGCAATGTGTGGTCCTAAACAAGTTAAAAAGGGGTCTAGAGTATTTGTGTGGTTATAAAGGCTTATCATTAAGGGTAGAATTGTAAGTTTAACCTAAATTGTTTCCAAATCTAGAAAGGGGTCATTCTTTTTTGGAACGAACCAAAAAGGAAATAAGTTCACATAAACTGGAACGGAGGGAGTAGGTTTTATGGATATCCATATTATCCATGGCTTCTTGAATAATCTCTCAAACATGAACAACCCCTAATTTGAGTCCTTACAAATGTAAAAGTTAAGCACATTCGTTATCTATTTTCTAAGTGGATAATATGGTTCTTATCCATATTTGACCCGTTTTTAAAAAGTTCATTATCCAACCCATCTTTTAGTGGATAATATGGATAGATAAATATATTTTTTTTATTTTGCCACCACTACTTATGCTATTTGGGCTGACCCTTCAATCAAAAAGAGAAAATGACACTGTGTAGCCGCTGAAAAAATAATTGCCGAAAAAATATATAAAATTTATATATGTATGTTATATACAAAAATTATACAAATTTTATACACTTCTTCGATTACTAAATGTAAATAGTTTCTGTCGCGGGCTAAAAGTAATAATAGCCCAATCAAAAACTAAAGTACCAATAAATCTTCCTCCGCATACTATTTTATCTGGCAAAACATCTTGAAGGGATAGGATATTTGTACAAAAGTACTAGCGTGGGTAGTTGGAGATGGCAAAAATATTGATCTATGAAACTGTTGGGGAATTCACCAACCTTACGTTCCATAATTCAAGGTCCCTCAATTATAATGACTAACATTTGGAGGTTCACTATTAGAAATTCGGTAAAAATCGATCAACTTTGATCGGTCAAAAAATCGATCAAAGTTTGTCGGTTTTCCAAAATATTTTAATTTTTAATTTTATTTTTTACCAACTTTGGTCGGTTTTCTTTGGCGCAAAAATACGGAAAACTATTTTTGAGTCCCGCAAAATTTATTTTTCAAGAAACCGACCAACTTTGGTCGGTTTTTTCAATTAAAATAAATAAAAAATAATATTAAAAAAATCGACCAACTTTGGTCAGTAAATTTGGCCGGTCATTTTTAAAAACCAACCAACTTTGATCGGTAATTTTATTTTTTAATAAAACCGACCAACTTTGGTCGGTTATTTTCGTGCGAAAATACAATTAAAGAGTATAAATAAAAAAAATAAGACAATCTTAAAATAAAATGCACCAATGGTTTAGTGGTAGAATAGTATCCTGCCACAGTACACACCCCCGTTCGATTCCCAGATGGTGAATCCTTTGATTACATAATTAAAATACCGATCAACTTTGATCGTGTTTTTTTTTTTTTGCGACCAACCTTAGTCCTTTTACCTTTGCGACCAAGCGTGTTTGGACGCATTTTGGTCGGTAATTTGCCAAAACCGATCAACGTTGGTCGGTTTTTGTGGTCATTAATTACCGGATTTCTAGTAGTGGTTGGAACATTTGGAATAAAAACCAATGAAATATCCTTTCAGTAGGAATATTTTAGACATTGATTTTTCTAATAATCATAACAACAGAGAACTCCTAATTAATATTGGTCATCCTTCATTCGAGTTGCTCCTACCAATTTGGACAGATTGACAGAGACTTGCTCCATATCCGGGCGTGCATTTGGATCCTCACTCAGACATTTCACTGCAATTTTCGTGATGCTGATAGCCTGCTCATCACTGTCGTCTCCCAGAAGTGATTTATCCACTATCGATTCTTTTCCTCCTTCGAGCGTCTGCAGAATCCACTTGTGCTGTGGAGCGGGAATATTTTTCTTATTGGCAATCAACTCCACCAGTAGAACACCAAAAACGTAAACATCAGCTTTTAAAGTCCGAATACCTACATACATGGATCAGACAGAAGCCATACTAATTTAATGTCAGTTATTTATTACACACAAAAAAGGGAACAATGTTACACATAAAATTCGCATCAAAGGACTAGGATGATCTCAACTCAAGATTTAGCAAATGTACAAGGAAATTTGAACCTCTGATACTCACAATGTTAATGAATAACAGTCATTTGTCCATCCTATCACTACTGTGGCAGCAGTAGTATAGAGATTGACACTGATGATTGATACACAAAAGAACAAAACACAACAGCTCAAATGAAAGAAGAAAAGAAATGACATTAGAATATCCTTGAGTGCCAAGCTCCACCTGCTGGATTTAGATATTCCGGGTCTCTTCATGACCATGAACACAATAATAACTACAGAGACAAAAGTTCCTCTTCACAAGTCAGAGTAGCGTTAGCCGCTTTTTTAAAGGATTGGTAACATAAAGCATTATAGCTTAGTTGGTTCTAGTAATCAGTTGAAAAAATAAAGGTGCCATTGACCATAAATTCCTCACCATTAAGTTCTCTAGCAGTACAGACATTGAACTAAATAAGACAATAAAATTAAAGAGACGCACCGTCTCTAGCCTCAGGAGCATCAGGGAAAAGAGGATAACCCATGGGAACTCCGTCATTCTCTTCTAAAGGAGCAAGGAAACCAAAGTCGAAAACTTTTATGTTGAAGTCCTGCAAGCCAATTAAACAGGAACTTATAAAGCATCAACGAGTAACAACAACAACATACGCAATATAATCCTACAAGTGGGGTCTGGGGAGGGTAATGTGTACGCAAAACTTAACCCTACCTGGGGAGATAGAGAGACTGTTTCCAATAGACCAAAACATCAACAAGTAAGGAGGTTCAAAATTTTCAAAGTTAACCACAGGGAAGCCATTAGAGAACTCCAAGCTGTTAGTGAAGAAGGAGAAGATTCTAGAGAGAGAATAATGGAGAGATTCTCATTCAGACTAAAACCGTATGTACAGTGACTGTGCATATATACTAATGCACTCAACTAACTAACTAACAATTTACACATGTGCTAATTAACTACTCTAACTGCTTCTGAAGTGTACATGTTAAATAGCTTACTGTACAAACTCTCTACACTCCCCCTCAAGTTGATAAAGGAAAAATATTTTTCATTCCCAACTTGGAAACCAAAAATGCATGTTGACGATGCCCCAATGCCTTTGTCAAAATATCAGCTGGCTGTTCTTGGGTGGCTATATGTGTTGTCCTTATTAGCCCTTCTTGTATCTTCTCTCTAATGAAATGACAGTCAATGTCAATGTGTTTTGTTCTTTCATGATATATTGGGTTGGCAGCAATCTGTAGAGCAGCTTTATTGTCACAATAGAGGTCCATGGGTAGTTTGACACTAACTCTCAGTTCTTTCATCAGTCCATCCAACCATGTTAGCTCAGCTACAATATGATCCATGCTTCTGTATTCTGCTTCAGCTGAACTTCTAGAAATGGTATTCTGCTTCTTTGTCTTCCATGAGATCAGTGAGGATCCCAGCTTGACACAGAAGCTTATTATTGACTTCCTGGACATTGGACAAGAAGCCCAATCAGAGTCACAGAATGCTTCTATCTTCTCTTCACCTCTGCTTGACATCAGTAGCCCAAGATCTAGTTGTTTTTTAACATATCTCACTATGTGCAGAGCAGTTTCATAGTGAGATGTCTTTGGAGCATGCATGAACTGGCTTCGGCATTGTACTGCATATGCAATGTCTGTCCTAGTGATGGTTAAGTACAGCAGTTTGCCAATGAGTCTCTGAAAGCTGTTTCTGTCTTGCAATGGTTCATCTGCACCAGCCTTCTGCACACATTCATCATACTCTGTGCTTGTTAGCTTCAGGTTCTGTTCCATAGGTGTGTCTTTAGGCTTTGCTCCTGACAGCCCTGCTTCTGATATCATCTCTAGAGCATATTTCCTTTGAGACATGAGAATGCCTTCTTCAGATCTGGCAAACTCCATCCCCAAAAAATATCTAAGTTCTCCAAGATCCTTCAATTTGAACCTTTTATGAAGGGCAGTTTTAGCTTGATGTATTTCTTCCAAGTCATTACCTGTGACAAGAAAGTCATCTACATATACAAGGATAAGCACAAATTTGTTATTAGTGATCCTAGTAAACAGGGAATAATCATGTTTGCTCTGCTGAAAGTCTGAGGATAATAAAGCATGTGTCAGCTTCACATTCCATTGTCTAGAGGCTTGTTTTAAGCCATATAAGGATTTGAGTAGTCTGGACACCTTATACTCCCCCGACTACTAAATCCTTGAGGCAGAGTCATATACACTTCCTCAGCAAGATCTCCATTGAGAAAAGCATTATGCACATCCATTTGGTATACAGGACAATGTCTAAGGGCAGCAACAGCTATAACAGTTCTTACTATGGTCATCTTGGCCACAGGGGAAAAAGTATCATAAAAGTCAATTCCTTCCTGTTCGGTATAGCCCTTAGCAACCAATCTAGCTTTAAATCTCTCTACAGAACCATCATCATTATACTTGATTTTATAGACCCATTTACAACCTATGGGTACCTTATCAGGTGGCAAGTCAACCACATCCCAAGTATGATTTTGTTCTAAGGCTTTAATCTCAAGATTCATGGCCTTAATCCATCTATCATCTTTAATGGCTTGTGAGTAAGAGGTAGGTTCAATATCAGCTGAGAAGGAAGCAAGAAAAGACTGGAAGTGAGTAGGAAGATGAGAGTAAGAAACAAAGTGACTGATAGGATAAAGACAAGCATTAGAAGTAGAAGGTAAAGGAGGGTGAATGTAATCAGTCAACCAAATAGATGGTTTAAGGGTTCTGCCAGATTTTCTAGGTAATAAGGAATCAGTAAGAGCATTAGAAGGAGTATTAGATGGGATAGAAGTAGCAGGTAAACCATTAGCA